GGGGAATCTCAAAAAGTGGGGGAGGGGAGACCCCAAAATCTGGGGGGGGGAACCCTAAAAAGGACCCCAAAACTGGGGGGAGAGACCCCAAAATTGGGGGGAAAAACCCAAGAAAGGACCCCAAAAGTGGGGGGAGAGACCCTAAAAGTGGGGAGAGGGACCCCAAAATTGGGAGGGACCCCAAAACTGGGGGAAGGGGGGGGAATAACCCCAAGAAAGGACCCCAAAAATGGGGGGAGGGACCCCAAAAATGGAGAGAGAGAGACCCTAAAAATGGGAGGGACCCTAAAAACGGAAGGGACCCCAAAACCAGGAGGAATGGGGGGAAAAAACCCAAAAAAGGACCCCAAAAATGGGGGGAAAGAGCCCAAAAATAGAAGGGACCCCAAAATTGGGGGGAATGGGGAGAAAAGACCCAAAAAAGGACCCCAAAACTGGGGGGAGACCCCAGAAATTGGGGGGAAGAGACCCTAAAAATGGGGGGAATTGGGGGAAAATCCCAAGAAAGGACCCCAAAAATGGGGGAGGGACCCCAAAATTGGGGGGAGGGACCCCAAAAAGGGAGGGAGCCTAAAAATGGGGGGAATGGGGGGAAACGACCCAAAAAGGGACCCCAAAAATGGGGGGAGGGACCCCAAAAATGGGGGGGACCTCAAAAATTGGGGGGAATGGGGGGAAAAACCCAAAAAATGACCCCAAAAATGGGGGAGAGACCCCAAAATCGGGGGGAGAGACCCCAAAACTGGGGGGAGGGATCCCCAAAAATGGGGGGGACCCCCAAAATTGGGGGGAATGGGGGGAAAAAACCAAGAAAGGACCCCAAAAATGGGGGGAGGGACCCCAAAAATGGGGGGAGAGACCCCAAAAATGGGGGGAGGGATCCCCAAAAACGGGGGGGGACCCTAAAAATGGGGGGGACCCCAAAACTGGGGGGAGGGACCCCAAAATTGGGGGGGAGATCCTAAAAATGGGGGGAATGGGGGGAAAATCCCAAAAAAGGACTCCAAAAAATGGGGGAGAGACCCCAAAAATGGGGGGGAGGGACCCTAAAAATGGGGGGGACCCCAAAAATTGGGGGGAATGGGGGGAAAAAACCCAAAAAATGACCCCAAAAATGGGGGAGACCCCAAAAATGGAGAGAGACACCCCAAAATCGGGGGGAGAGACCCCAAAAATGGGGGGAGAGACCCCAAAAATGGGGGGAGGGATCCCCAAAAATGGGGGGGACCCCAAAATTGGGGGGAATGGGGGGAAAAAACCAAGAAAGGACCCCAAAAAGAGAGGAGGGACCCC